GTTAATTGCCCACTTCATCTTGAATGGTTTCTTGCAACTTGTTAACTCCTTATGTTTACTAGTCTCTTCCATCTTGTATTTAGCTGTGACATTCTGATTACCTTTCCCAGACTTGAAGAGCTCTGTGGAGTTTGAAATCTTGTCTCTTTCACCAACAGAAGTTGGTCCAATAAAAGATACTATGTCACCCACCTTCTATCTCTCAATTCCTATTGAAATAGATGAGGGCATTCAGGGCCTTGAAGGCCTGGGCGTAATATGGAGGCTTAACACCAAACAAAAAATATGCACTAGAAATACATTAATTGTGACAAGCCAGGGTGGGATTCACAAAATGAGTTAGGTGCCTAACTCACTGATTTCAATAGGAGTGATGCACCTAAGTACTTTGAGAATCGCACCTCTGTGAGTGACGAATCCATCTCAAGTGGGTGTCCAGATTGAGGGGAGGTCCACACTACAAAATTACTCTGGTATAACTACGTCACTCAGGGATGTGAAAAATGCACACCCTTGAACGACGTAGTTAGAATGACCTAAGCACTGGTGTAGACAGCGCTATGTCAGTGGGAGAGATTCTCACACTGATGCTAATCCATCTCTGTGAGAGGCCATAGCTATTATGCCGATGGGAGAGTCCCCATTAAGCAGAGCTTTTGCTATTACTGTTCTGAAAAAGCAGTAATTACTTTTCCTTAAACTAAATCTGTTTCTTCTGTGACACACCCAATAAAGACTGTTTCAGTGATGTGGTTACCCCTGATTATGCAAGTCCTTATTGGAAAGGAATACCCCATATCATTCTCTCACATTTTAGCCTTTGGCCATAATAAATACATGTTACTTCCATTACACACTGTGCACCTCAGATATTATTCCCTTCTGTTTCATCAAGAGCTATTGTTATTAATTGACTTCTGACATTTAATATAATAAGAGAGAAAAGCTTTACAACTCTCAGTATGCAGAGGAGAGAAGAAATGTGATCTGTTGATATTTTAACCACTGCACACAGTCTTGACTGGACTAAAAAGTCATCACTACAGTACACATATGAAATAAGACCTTTAAAGCTGTCTTCCTGGAAGTGTAAAAAATAATCTCCTGGTATCTCTATTTTTTTAAAGTATATTTTGTTCCTTTGTATTTTGAAATGTTTCAGTCTATTAAGTCAAATGGTCACATTATAAAGTAATTTGGGGGGGGGTGTGACTAAAGCCCATAGCAGCAGAGTCAAAGGTACACCTGAAAATCTGCTGGAAGAAGGGCTTTGTGAACTGGGATCGCTCCAGAAACGCAGTGAATTCCATTCCCGAAGGTGGGAAGAACAAATGTTTGAGAGAAAACAACAGCTTCATGAAGACATAGGTGTGATCTGGAGCCTATGTCGCCAAAAAGCCAGTTATATGTAATTACAGTATGTTATGGATTCCTCATCATGTAGGAATGTAACGCTGGTCTACAATTTTCGAGAAGTCCTCTGCTTCAGAGATAAAATGTGCTATATATTATGTATTTTGATGTGCTGAATTCAAATGTGACAATTAAAACAACTAATTGGCTACTGTTTCTAAGATATTTAAGTTTTTACATTTTATGTCTATGTATATTGTGTAGATAGTAGAGTTTTAATCATAAATGGTAAACCTAGGTCTTTTCATGTGTTTATGGTTGCTTTACATGATAATATTTCACCTGTCCTGTTTATGTAACACTTTAAAAATCAGCAAAAGGGTTATATAAATAAAATTTATTATGAAACAAAAGGCAAAAAACTTTTCTGTACATAGTTTAGTCCTATTCAGTGTCTACTCGGCGCTTCTTGGCTTGTCTCTTGTATTCATTAAATGGAGCATCTCTTGTCACTGTCCAGCAATAGTCTAAAAGCACTGATGGGCTCCATTTGCCCTGATAGCGTTTCTCCATTGTTGCAATGTCCCGGTGAAATCGCTCGCCATGCTCGTCGCTCACTGCTCCGCAGTTCGGTGGAAAAAAATCTAGATGAGAGTGCAAAAAATGTATCTTTAGTGACATGTTGCAACCAAGGCTTCTGTATGCCTTGAGGAGGTTTTCCACCAACAACCTGTAGTTGTCTGACTTGTTGTTTCCGAGAAAATTTATTGCCACTAACTGGAAGGCTTTCCATGCCGTCTTTTCCTTGCCACGCAGTGCATGGTCAAATGCATCATCTCGAAGAAGTTCACAAATCTGAGGACCAACAAAGACACCTTCCTTTATCTTAGCTTCACTTAACCTTGGAAGTTTTCCACGGAGGTACTTGAAAGCTGCTTGTGTTTTGTCAATGGCCTTGACAAAGTTCTTCATCAGACCCAGCTTGATGTGTAAGGGTGGTAACAAAATCTTCCTTGATACAACACGTGGTGGATGCTGAACACTTTTCCTCCCAGGCTCCAGTGACTGTTGGAGTGGCCAATCTTTCTTGATGTAGTGGGAATCTCTTGAACGACTATCCCATTCACAGAGAAAACAGCAGTACTTTGTGTATCCAGTCTGCAGACCAAGCAAGAGAGCAACAACCTTCAAATCGCCACAAAGCTGCAACTGATGTTGGTCATAGTTTATGCACCTCAAAAGTTGTTTCATGTTGTCATAGGTTTCCTTCATATGGACTGCATGACCAACTGGAATTGCTGGCAAAACATTGCCATTATGCAGTGAAACAGCTTTAAGACTCGTCTTCGATGAATCAATGAACAGTCTCCACTCATCTGGATGGTAAACAATGTTGAGGGCTGCCATCACACCATCGATGTTGTTGCAGGCTACAAGATCACCTTCCATGAAGAAGAATGGGACAAGATCCTTTTGACGGTCACGAAACATGGAAACCCTAACATCACCTGCCAGGAGATTCCACTGCTGTGGTCTGGAGCCCAACAGCTCTGCCTTACTCTTGGGTAGTTCCAAATCCCTGACAAGGTCATTCAGTTCACCTTGTGTTATGAGGTGTGGTTCAGAGGAGGAGGATGGGAGAAAATGTGGGTCCTGTGACATTGATGGTTCAGGACCAGAAGTTTCATCCTCTTCCTCTTCCTCGTCTGACTCAAGTGAGAATGATTCTGGTGCATCAGGAACCGGCAGTCCTTCTCCGTGGGCTACTGGGCATATAGCTGATGGCATGTTTGGATAATGCACAGTCCACTTTTTCTTCTTTGACACACCTTTCCCAACCAGAGGCACCATGCAGAAGTAACAATTGCTGGTATGATCTGTTGGCTCTCTCCAAATCATTGGCACTGCAAAAGGCATAGATTTCCTTTTCCTGTTCAACCACTGGTGAAGATTTGTTGCACAAGTGTTGCAGCATATGTGTGGGGCCCACCTCTTGTCCTGATCTCCAATTTTGCAGCCAAAATAAAGGTGATAGGCTTTCTTAACCATAGTGGTTATACTGCGCTTTTGTGATGCACTTCACCACAAACATAGCAGAAGTTATCTGCACTGTTCACACAAGTACGAGGCATCTCTGCTCACTTTGGCTAAACAGAAATGTGTCCCTTTGCAAAATCAAACACTGACAAATAAGAGAGCATGACACTGTGTGATTTCTAGAGCTGATATAGGGCAATTTGTTCAGCAGAGTGATGTAAGCTTCATTATGATTGCATCATCCATGACTTCTAGGAATAACATGATGCAATCCATATCATGTATGATGCAATACCAGCTTCAGATTGCATCAATCATTGTTTTGCTTAAAAAGCAAGTACTGTCCAAACCCAGTCATAGATTTATTCATAGGTCCAGTCAAAGATGTATTTTAGTCATTTCTGGTTTAAATTGAGATCCCTTCCCTTTATAACTCACTTATCCTCCGCCATTCCCAAGTCAAGGGTTGTATATACTGACCCAATAGCATATATTGAAAACTAGAGCCAATCAACAATTTTAAGCATCTTTTTCGTTCTCAGTGACCCAGAATTAGTAAAGTTTGACTACATTTATTTCAGAAGCATTTTGGCTGTAGAGCAGTGTAATCAAAACAAGGTAGAACCATATAAATAGTGGCAAAACCAACACTCCTGTGCCATCACTAAATTGTTCATTCAAATATTCTAATCTAATAATAGAAGTTTGTCTTGTTGACTGTCATTTAGCGACTAAGGGCAGGATTCACCAAGGTAATTAGATTCCTGTCTCCCATTGAAACCAGAAAGAGTTGGGTGCCTAAATACGTTTGTGAATCCCACCCTAATAGTTTGGCATGACTACCGAAGTTTAAAATTGCTACATGTTTGCAAAGTTTATTGTTTTGAATAAATACCAAGGGCTCGATTTTCAGACTTCCTGAGCACTGACAACTCCAATAATCTTCAAAAATATCTGCACGTCCTAGTGCTTCTGAAAATCACTGCCCTATCAAACAATCTTTTTTAAATGAGCACATTTCTGAAAAGCCTGATTTCAACTAATTTATATAAAGATCTTTGGTACATGATCTCTATTCTGATTCCATGAATATTTTCCAGTACAGACTTAACCTCAATGGGCCCAGATGGCACAACAGAGTTGCACCTGCTTATGACAACAATTATTCTGACTCGTAGTACTTTTACCAAATATTATTTCTTTGAGCAATGCCACCTTATACCTTTAATAAAAAGGTCAGAAAAGTCTGACCCACCCTAATAAGTTTATAATCAAGAGTCATTTAAAGAGTAACATCAGCTTTCCCTGGATAAAATATATGCCCCAAACTGATGTTATAAAAAAATAGAACTGCTACCAGCTATGGGCCTGATCTTGCAAGATCCTGCATATCCTCATTTCCCATTGGATGTTTGGCACCTTGCAAGATTGGACCTTGTGTTCTTTAAAACAGTTCTTGTCTTAGCAAAGATCCATTCCATACTTTTCCATCATGCATTAGGGATCCCTTCTGTCTGACCTCCAACCCAAGAAATTATTTAAGGGAGTCTTCACATTGATGTTATAAATGGCACTCCTTTTGAAATTAGTGTATGTAAAATAAAACATACTCTTGGGAAACCTGGGTGGGTTGTCATTGACATCGGTGAGAGTTATGTTTACAGTGGTAGTTCCAGCTAATCCTCCCAGCTGTCCTCCCATATCCTTGGCTTGGATGAGGACTTGATATTGTTCTTTGACCTCTCTGTCCATGTTTGGCAAAGCTGTTCTTATTACACCTTGGAGGAAAAAAAGAAAAGAGAAACACAATACATATAAACCAAAGCCTTGGCAAAGGTTTTGTTTACAAAATAATATTCTTTCCTATGTACACTGATGGTTAGATTCCCCAAAGAGTTCATCAACTGGCATTTCCCATTTAGACACCTGAATGAAGTGCTCAGATTTCTAAAAAAGCCCAGCAGTCAGCAGCTCCCATAGAGAGACTCACATTGATTTCAATGGGTGACCAGAAGGAAGCTTGATTACACAGTAGTATTTCAGGGCCTGTCTCCCCCGCCTCACTTTAAATAAACAACATTTTGGATGGTGGATTAAGACTGACAAGTGTATTTTGACTAGGGATGTGAATGAGAAGAGAGTGAATGTCTCCCACATCAGAATGGAAAAGGCATAAAGGGCAATGTGGATAAAAGCACAGAGACATGAGTGGGAGAAGAAGGGGTGAAGGGTGGACAAAAAAAAAAGTAGAAAGAGGTGAGTAGACATCACTACTTCTCAGACTGTCTCTATGCCTCTCCTGCATTTGAAACAAAACATCCAGTATCACCACCAATGTAGTGAGCTTCCATTGGACAAGACAACGTCCCTTCTGTACAAAAAGTAGTGTTTGGTTACAAAACGTATCGCTGTTCTTCTGATACAGCGATTACTGAAAATGCTCAGGCGCTTTTTGAATAGGGTATGGTAAATATCCTACCTGCAGTTGCAAACACACAATTAGTCATTAATCAAATGTGTTTTAATCTTGAGTGACTTTGAACAGCTGGCATCTAACGACACCTTCTACAGCGTTCTTTCCGTTATGTTAAAAATGTAGGATCCTGTGACCAAATTCATGGGAAAAGGTATGTTACCTTGTCATAAGACAACATCGTATAATGCTATATAATTAAACAATATCTCTCAGAAATGGTTCGATGCAGGCAGTTTAATGCAGACAGCCTGTGTAGTTCCAAAATAAGCCAGTTGGAGAGGGATTATTATTATTTCAGAAATTATTATCTATGAACATTAGGCTGGTTGGTTTTAAAATCTGTCTTTTTCCCTTTTGTTACAATGTACACAGAGTGATAAGAAAAAAACATCTCTCTTGGGATGCTTGTTATTTCTTTGGCAATTAACTCGTGTGTCAACCAGTAAGAATGGAATCAATTAGTTTATAATGCTTGTTAGGAGTCTAAAAATAACTTTGGCTTGGATTCACCACTGGTTCAACAGATCAAAAATTCCTAATAAATTGATTGTATAAGAATGAAGTTTTCTTTCATTTGTAACATTGATGATAATAGTAACAATTATTGAAAATAATGTACTGACTTCTTCCTCAGCATGGCAGTTAAGGCACTAAATAATAACTAACGTCTGAAACAATTAAGCACATGTGTACATAGTCTTGAAACAAGGGTTGTGATTCTTTTATTTTCAAAAACTCAATGCTATTCAAAAGGCTCCACTTTTCAAGGTAGAACTCCTGGAGGTTAAAGCTCCAGGATTATAAAAATAACGGAAAATACATATTTAAAAAGTGAATAAAATAGTAAAAAGCCCAACTAGCATCATTAAAAATGGGAGTCATTGGAGACTGAAAACAGAAAGGGGAGTATTTTCAATTTTTGTTTTTTGTTTTTTGTTTTTTTGGGGGTTTTTTTAGTGGCAAAAGTCCTTTTGTAAATTGGAACAACACTATCAGGTTTCCACTGAAACCTCTTCCCCGTTCCATGATTTTACATCCTGAAATGTTTTACAACGTATTTCTTATACTCAAGTCCAGGGAGTAAACAACTATGGAAATTAATTGTTCCCCTTGTTATACTAACAGAAGAGAGCAAAATAATAATAGTTAAATAAATAAATAAAATGGAGGTGTTCAGCACTCCATGGAACAAGCAGAGAATATTTCACGAACTAGAGGTGCAGTTCACCTTGATTTTTAAATTATTTTTTTAAGATAACATTGGTTAGTTTTAAATCTGTTAAAAATCTTCCTAATAGATTATAGTACATAAACAATTGGCTGTCACTCTAGCAGTGAAGTGCCTAATCACCCAATGCTTTTCCTGTCTGGAAGTTGGAAGCATTCTGTAGCTTTTCCCATAAGAGATTTCTGTCTCCAATAAAAATCTATGAGAATAATTTAAAGGTCAAAAATAGTCCAATGGCAATATTTTTCCTTCACTTTGCACTCTATATTAAAAGACTAAATAAAAATGAAAAATAACCTTTTCTATAAAAAGGCATGTGTTTATAAGGATGTTTCAGAGAGCACATTTAAGAATCTCGCTAGAGCAATTCATTATATGGAGCAATGATTAACAAGAAAGAAGCCATTGCATTTCTTCTTCCTCTTCACAAAAAATATTAGAATTTTGAAATCAAGGCTTATTGTAATGAACAGATCTACATGGATTCAGCACTGCACTGAATGTTCCCAGCTTTTACCATTTTAAATCTTTTAGCGTTAACCAAGAGGGCCGCAGAATTGAATAATATTTATAGGGTTTTTTTTTTTTTGGTTGGTTGGGTTTTTTGCAAGAAATACAGATATTGAATGTGAACTGACATACAACGTCCCTGACGTTGCCAACAGACTGACAAGCATAAGCTCCTATCATGAGTTCTATGCAGACAGGCCTTGCACCTGGACTGCCCTCCAGTGATATTAATGGAGAGTTGGGGGTCTGCCCACATGGAGGATGTGAGCGTCTGCACCTGATCTTGTAAGGAAGTTGATGAGTTAATACTAATGTGTGCAGTTCCCTTGGTATGAATATAACCTCTCTAGTGGCTTGCATATACCCTTGTATATTGCAAGTTAATGTTGCTCAAAGTAGCATTGATCTATATGCTCATTTCTGATATAAGTTCCACTTGAGTAGCATGTTCAGAGGGGTTGATGGTGGATGTGTGATATATGGGGTTTCCCCTCTGCATGACTTTCCAGGGCTCTTCTTGTGTAAGCTTTGCCCATCTGTTCCACTCAATACTGAGTAACAAAAGGCAGCATATACCCCAAATATATACCCCAAAGAGCTAAAACAGTTCAGGGAATGCTGGTGGGGATATCATCAAGTGTTACATGAGAAATATAGACACCTGAATTCAGCTTGTGGCTGGTTAAAGCTTTTCAGTTCACTTTTAAATTCCTCTCCATTTCCCACAAGATTTAATCCAAAAAGAAGCATTAAGGTTAAGATTTTTTTCCAGGTGTCTGAAAAAGTCAGATTTTGATTTTCAAAGTAGAGTCATCGAGCCAGCCTGCAATATGATCTACTGCTAAATGGAGCATGTGACAGAGGAACGTGACCTTTGGAGATTCTGCACTAACAGTGTCGTGCATCTCCCATCTTCAATTATTGATTAATCTGTGAGAAAGTCTTTAACATGCCATCTGACATTCAAGTACAGCTTCACTGGGAGAAGAAATTCCATTTGTTGAAAGGGGCATATAGGTGACTATTCCTGTACACATTCAAGATATAGTTTGTAGCATTTAGTGTGTACATTCTTGGTTCTTTCACTGAATTATTAAATATAGAAACAGGAATGGCATTTAAAAATATAGAACACGATAAACTATTGCAGTCTCCCTTTCTCCTCTGCCAACACATCTAACAACCTCAGACCAATATCCTGTGCCCCAGCAAAAGAAGAGGGCAGGGACCAATCAGCTGTCCACATTCTCTAATTAAAAACATGCAGCACAAGAATCACTGCTAAAAGTATTCTTCATTCTAGGCAAGCAGACTGCAAATTGAGTCAATAGGATGAAGACTTGAGATTTTGGAGTCAAAACATCCAGGAAAAAAAGCGAGAACACACTTCCACATTGTTAAGATCACTTCTGTCTTTAAGTACTGTTCAGTTTGTAAGAGTGCATCAGAAAAGACCTCTTCAACACATACATACTTTATGGCAGGTTACAATTTATTCAAAACCCAGTCTGCGAACAAAGCAAATATATGACTATGTATTGGCCTTTGGGTGTATCAGAGCATTAGGTATTTATTTCTATACACCCCAATAATGCTGCCCACTTGGATGTTTAATCAAAATTTAAATGTTTGAAAGGGAAATGACAATATTGTTGTTGATGAAACATTTACCTGTCTTAGGATCAATGGAGAAGTATGGTTGCCCCTGAAGAATGCTATAAACCACTCTGGCACTGTTTCCGTATGTTGGATCGTCAGCATCTGTAGCTTTAACCTGAAGCACGTATGCGCCTAGAAAAAACAATACAGGTGTTTTAATTTCCAAAAGAAAACAAAGATCAGGAATATTGCTGACATATATATAGCTTAGCCCCTTTTGATGAGGGCATTTGCTGTAGCTCCTGCTTCTTTGGAAACAGGAAAAGAACAGTGTAATGTTTCAGCACCACACTGACATAAATGTAAGTAGCAGTTGCAGCAGACAGGGAAGGGAAGGCAAGGTGGGCAGGCACCCACTCTTCAGAAGACGCTTACCAGCAAGTTGGAAGGGAGGGGTGATGTGCAGGAAAGCAAGCCAGTTGCCCACCCTTGGAAATGTAAATAGGTGTGGGAGTAACAGGATAATCAATTTCCCCTCCAAGAGATGTCTAAAGGCAAGGGAGGGAGGGAACTAGAGAGGAGGGTATTTCTTGTGTATTTTGACAGTTTTAACCACACTCACTTGGGACCACACAGTTTACCAGTCTGGCTTTGAGCGTTTGGATTTGTATAGACACCAAACTCCAAATGCAACTTGGGAGCCCCCACACTTTGCAAACCAAGATCATCAGCAGGGTTTGCTGACATTCATGTGAGTGCTCAGCACCACTGAAAAACAAGCCACATATTTAGGTGTCTACAATTGGATATAGGCGCTTAATTTTAGACAAGATTGTGTATTTGGACCTCTTTGTCCACAGGTTTAGTAACACAGCCACAAATATTGCTTACTTTTGTATATCTGCTCACCATGGAAACTCTGGTTTCCAACTTAGTGGGGTATCAAGCACTTTAGTGTCATCTGTCTCCCTTGTTTCTAATAACAGGGATTCTACAGTTATGTTTAAGAATAATATTGGTTCTAAAGACCTCACTTACAATAATAATAATAATAATATTTCTCCAAGCCTGAAAAGACATATTAAAAGTGCTGGGGGCCTGATCCTGATCCTGCTCCTGCCATGGGCATTTTGCCATTACCAATAGCATCAGACCTTTGAAGAAATTTATTTATTTATTTACAAAAATCTTCCCTTCACACATGAAATGGACACTGGTGAAAATATAGTGCCAGATTTAGAACGTGGGTGCCTAAAGTGTATGTTGAAAGCTAGACACAGCTTATGGCATGTGCAAAACCAACATTTTTGCACCCAACTGGCATTTGCAAAGTAAAATTTATAAGCTGGCATTGAAACCAGTATTTAGGCAGGCAACCACCTGATCTGCCTGCAGCCAGACCACAAAATACCATGAGAATTAGAGCGCGGCCTCCTAGAAGAAAACTTTCTAGTGCTAGAATACAAGTCCAAAAAGGAGTCTGTACATTTTAGAATTAACAAAGTATTTTATTCACTAAGCTGGGTTTGAAATCAAGGATTGAGTTTTGTTTCATCTACCTGCCTTGGTCAGCTTCAGATAGAAATACTGCAGAAATAGAGTACTTGTTTTTATATAGTTTTATCTGACACTTATATCAGGTGTGTTTACAGTAAGATAGTCTGCCTTGTGTCCATACATATAGGGGTACTCATAGAGTAAGTTTACTCCATTTCCCCTCTGTGTCACATTGAGAAGTAGTTGTAAAATGGTGGTCTGAAGAGAACTTTAGGGTGGTCTACAGAGAGCAAACTGGCTATCCCTCCATGTTTCTGATGCAAAAGTATATTACTTTCATATTATTCCTCCATGTAGTTAATTGTGGTAGTTGCCAAAATGATTTTAAACAATCACTTATACAGGGGGGAGTGAATGGGAAGGAAGGTCACATGACACGGTGGTCCATCATACAATCTTTCTGTTAGGATGGGGTGTACACTACAGCAAGTTTGAGAATACCTGGCATTCCCTAGACAATACCCAGGGAATACTGCAAATGCTGCAAAATTATTAGCTATAAAGGCAATTGGAAAGTTTTTAAGCATCATCATTGTACTAGCACTAACAGTGATATGCATGTCAACATTTATTTTTCTTTAAAATAAACAGCTGATTTGATAGTGAAAGATAGTCCAATATAGTCAAGGGAAAAGTTTGAGGTGATTTTTTTTAAACTCTCCTACACAACTCTACTTATGATTGCCAGCATTGCTGGAGGAATTGGAAGTGGAACTGATAGTGAAAATAAATTAACTGCTTGTTGGATAGTTTTGTAGAGTTGCTACACTTAGGGTACGTCTATACTTACCCGCTGGTTCGGCAGCAAGCAATTGATCTTCTGGGATCGATTTATTGCGTCTTGTCTAGACGCGATAAATCGATCCCAGAAGTGCTCGCCGTCGACGCCGGTAATCCTGCTCCGTGAGAGGAGTAGGCGGAGTCGACGGGGGAGCCTGCCTGCCGTGTGTGGACCCGCAGTAAGTACCTTTAAGTTCGAACTAAGATACTTCAACTTCAGCTACGTTATTCACGTAGCTGAAGTTGCGTATCTTAGTTCGAACTGGGGGCTTAGTGTGGACCAGCCCTTACAGATGGTCATTGGCCAAAGCAAAATGTTAAGGTGCCACAGGAGATTTTTCTGTACTACACTGATGATCATGGCGAAGCGTGAGAGTTCATGAAAAGCAATTTGATTAGCAAGACCAGGTATAAAATAATGCTGGTCATGTTTACAAGGTGAGGGCACATTAATTAGAGTCAACTTTCAATGAAAGGAAAGATTAGAGATGCAGTAAATAAAATAATACTGCAGAGATCATCTGGACTCATTTCAGAAGAAGCGTGAGGTTAGTTTTGATTTGCTGAAGGATGGGGAATGTCACATTTTAGAGACCATGAGGTGCCACAGAAGATCAAAGTCATAGTTCAATATAATGATTATGGAAGCACTGTATACTCAGACATTTATGCCTAAACTTCTCATCTAATACAAAATCAAGATAACAGAATGTGTGCTATGTAGCTCTACTGGGGGGCAGGGGAGAGGCATTGGGTATGGAGGTTCTCTCTCTATGCCAGGATAAGGATCAGCATGTTTTACAATACATACAAAACCTTCCATGGACTCTCACCACAGGGGGGATGGAGATAGAGGGGTCTATGTAGCAGGGGATCTGCCAGTCCCAACCCTGTCAGCACTTGCTGGAATGCAGGAAACCCCAACAAAGCTGAATTCTGTACTAGGGAAGGGGGATGCATAGGGATTGCATAGTATATCCTTCACAGTGCCTCCTGAATCGTGCCCCTCAACTCCCACCTTGAAAAGTAGAACTTCACTGGTTCTTCTGCCAAGGGACCACTAGCATTGCAGAGGAAAAGGCAAGATTTTTCCCTTACTGCTTAATTACACTAACAGGAGTGCCAAAAAAAAATATAACACAACCCAGGTTACTCACAATACACTAGAACATTAATTCACATCCTCAATCCCGCCACAGTCATAAATCTTGATACCAAACCAGGGCATAACCTATGGAATAAATATATACTATGTATTAAGTTGTAGTGATTGAGGACTTGATGACTCATGGGATTGGGTAAAAAGACTGTGCATTTGGGTTCCACAGGAACCTGAATAAACCGAAATATTTAGATATGTTTGGGATGTGTTAGTATTTCAATTAGAGTTTACAGTTTCTGTGAGCTTTTTGGAGGGGAGATGCTCAGGAATTCATTTATAGGGCTAGTAAAAGTGTGATCTGTATGACTTTAGGTACTCCCTGATCCATTAAAGAAGCTAGTAAAAAGTAAACCCCAACTACTTATACAAATAAACACAAATACAAGTAACTACAATCCACATACAGCCCTAATTGCCAATGGAACATGGAGCCTTTTATCTTGAAAAATGCTCTTATGTCTATCTATCCATTCACATATCCTCCCCACCACACAGTATCTTTCCACGATAAAATTCCAGTTTATTCCATTCTTTGACTGAGGAAATGTTTCTTTGTGTCATTCCCCCCCTTGTCCTACCCTGCTACTTTCTTTCCTCATACAGCTGGTTTTTGTTCCCATCTCAAACAACAAACCCAATCATCTGATTCCCTGAATCCTGAGGTTTGAATTAGAGTTGGGTGATTTAGAGGTTTGATTTAAATAAACATCCCCAAATTTGTATTCTTACTGAAAGCTTGGCTGGTCCTTCAGGCTCTTTCTCCCCAAACAGATCTCCTCCTTTGAACCCATTCCCTCCACACTGTCCCCTAAATTTCAGGTTGGTTGCTGTTGTGAGGGGAAGAGAAAAGGAGTTGGGAAGCCCATTTCAGACTTCAATAGCATGTTTTAAGAGAAGTAGGAGACTGTCTACCGCATATAGGCAGCAAGAGTATCTGAGTAACAGAACAAAGCTCTTCCCAACATTAACAAAACAGTAGGGGGGCTACCTTGAATTTGTACCCCAGAGTGAATAGCTTTCTCCTCATACCCCAGATGGAGAGGGACATCCAATTTTTCAAAAATGGTGAATTACATTGGGGCTTCTGAATATGTGTCAGCTGATTTTCAAAAGTGTTGGGCACTAAGTAGGTCCCAATGAAATCAACCAAGATTTTAAGCTTAACTTTAGGCTCCTGTTTTTGAAAATCTTGGCCACAACGGCCCCCTCATATGTATTATCAGAACGGTTTTAGGGGGCTTTCAAGCACTACGGCATAGCCCTCCAATAGTTGAGTTAAAAGAATAACTCCTTTATTTTTATCATCTAGTTGGTCAGCTACCAGAAGGGGATGCAATGCACATTTTGCCAGTGTATTACATAGATAAAATTTTTGGATTGCTTCATGCACTCTGGAGCTCAAAATACCAGAAATGTAATGTCTTGCATTTGAAAATACACCTGAAGCTCTATTACGGATTAATATTTAGAAACTCTGGTTCAATACAGCTCACATACACCTTGAAAATAGTACATAACATTGATCCATTCCCTGGATTTTTTTCCCTTTAGCTGAAATTCTAATACTGTATTGAGCTTGCAATTTAAAATCAATACTAGCTGATACACTCTAGCTGCAAAGAGGAAAAATATATCATAAATCTGATTTTACTTCAAGACATTTCATCAAAAAAAATTACTGGTGTTGATTTAG